CAAAAAAAAAAAAAAAAAAAAAAAAAAAAAAAAAAAAAGATTAAGACTTTTTCAAGGTTTTAAGAGCAATAGGTGGAAGGAGGAGTATACATCATAGCAAAGCATATGCATAATTACATACTAGCAGAAGAGGAAAACAAAATTTAGGCTAAAATGATTTTGCAAAGTCATGCTCGGGGGATTAAGAAAGAACTGGGAAATCCCTTATCAACAGTAACCAAGAGGGAAGCACAAGAGCATCTAAACTAGAAAGAACTGGAATTCCACAAAGCATTTTTTAGTTTTTATTCCTAATTTGGAATTAACTAAATGGGTAAAACTCTTAGAGTCACGGAACCTCTGAAGGATACAGTGAATGAAGCACTGAAGAAAACTAACTTTGAAAACGCAGGTAAACAGAAATGCTAATTTAAAGGCAATGGGAAGATCTTTATTTTCTTCACTAGCTTTTCAAACTATATGAGTCAAACAACTAAGCATATACTACTGACTACACAGTCTACCTATCAGTTATGCAAAGTCCCCAGGTGTAAATTCTCTGGCCCCACCCCTCTGGCTCAGGAAAATTTAGGATGCTGTCTTAGTGCATATTCCACTTTACATGCGAGTTTTCTAGCACTTGTGGCATAAGACGGGACCCTTACGCTCCAGTCACTGTGATACTCTGTCATCCAGTACCAGTGGGCAAAGGAGATCGGAATATCCTACGACCCAGCCTAGAAACCAAGAGCTCAAAGCAGCACTGCAAAAACCAAAACCAAACCCAAACCCAGCACTGCGGTTCTGGGGTGGAACACAGGGACGGTGACTTAGGTTCTTTACCCTCGTCTTTCAGATAAAGGTAAAATTAATGAGACGGACAGAGTTGACCGCTAGAAGAACAGAGTGCTTCCTACCTGTGGCATGTTGGTATTGGAGGCCCTGTTGTCAAGCTCCTCCTGCAGGTGCTGGTTTCTCCTTTCCGCCTGCAGCAGCTGGTGCTGAAGCTGCAGAAAGTGCTCCCTGGGGACCACTGGGCAGGCTTGCTGCTGGAGCGGCTGCAGGTCCCAAGGCGCGGACGGGCTATGCATCACAGTGGACCTCGGATCCTGCATCTGCGGGACACGGGTGAAGGTCTGGTCAGCGGCAGCTCCCTTTGGTCCACAGCAGGGAGTAGTGAAGTCTAGGACTTGGCTACTGGCCTCATACCAACCAATAAGTTGGAAACCGGGCAGCACATGTGCCCAAGTGAGGGGTAATTGGGAGAGCCATTTTGCTTAGAAGATAATGAATAAGCAGGCTTTCTGCAAAGTTTTAGAATTAAAAAAATGTACTTCCTTGAGTGACTGTAAGAGCATCAGTGCACAATTATACAGTACATTACTACAGTGTATTGTAACTGAATTCTGACTTCTTTCTAGGCTAGAACATTTAATTATCCTCTTCCCCTTTTTAAAAACTGGGGTTCTAGTACGGAAATCAGGGGAGAAGTGCTTATGTTCTAGGATTTCCCACTATACTTACCACTCAAAGATTCTTCAAGACAAATGTTCAGTGGTTACATATTTTCCAACCCCAGGTTAGAAAAATTTGGGAGGGATTTCACCTTGCACTTAAACTAAAATGGGTTAATTTTATCACTGTGTAGTTAGTTATACCCTTAAACAGCACAGTAAGACAGGCAATTTTTGGAGTATAAGGCAATATCCTAAAACATCTGGGAACTGGAGTACAATGGATAGAAGGATTTGTTCAAGACAATGAGGAAATGGTGCATCAACATGCCAGTTAAATGTAGGGAGAGGAAAAGATGAGAATACACTATGTTTTGGCCAATGACCATGCCACCTCACGTCTGTCAACATGTTCAGCAGACACAGGGTTCCATGGAAGGCATGCAGGAAACACGAGCAAGCCCAAAACCCAAGAGGACACACCTCCAGGCTTGTGGCAAGAGGAAAAGGCCTTCTCGGGCTCAACCATAATTAAATGTTACCACAAAACTTCAAAGCCACTATCCATTTCCTGATATCCTCATTTCTGAGGTGGATCATTACTCATTTTGAAATTCTTTTAGTTGTAGATTCAAAAAATCTCCCACTTTATTTTCACGAATAAAGAAAATATAGTATGAGGATCCCATGATTTTATAGCGGTGGGATAATTTTCTTCATATATAATGCTGAGGAAAATCCTATCGTAAATGAAGACATACTCCACAGTGAAATCAAAATGAAAATGAATACTGGCTCTTTAGTACTTATTAACGGTTACAGCCACAGAAATGGTTACATGAACAGAGTTTAATGAGATGGCTCATGCCATGAAAGTCCAGTGGAAGAGAATGTTCTACCTTCACACACTATCTCAGGCAGAGAACCGCACCCTTCTCTGCTACTTCCAACCACTGAGTTCTAGGTGCAGGTTAGCCACAGACAAAAGAAAAGAAAATTTCAGGAGTTAAAGAGGAAGAAAAGCGAGTTAGTTATAAACAGAAGCAACAGTACCATCTGGATATATTTATATACATGAACAAAAGCACACGAAGGGCTGACACATTTCTCTGGATATAAATTATGTAGATATGAAAATGTCTTACAACTCTAACTCTACTACTGTGCCTTCACCTACTGTGATCTGGTGGGTTTGTGAGCCTGCCTCCTTTACCCCTACCCATCCCAACAGAATTATTCAGACAGTTCCAGGTCCTGTATGAAATGATGTTAACATTCCTTGCCCTTTGCGAATTAGAATGTCCTAGCAGCTTTTCTCTGCTTCCAAAGATTCAGATGTAGGAACATCTCCCTGCTTGTTCTTGGGCTCTGAGCCCCAGTAGGTGAGAATCCTCACCAGACAGGAATATACCCATCCCGCAGGTGAGCTGGGGAACCAAGGATGGGGTGAAAGCCACTGTACAGTCCATAAACTAGCTTATAATCCTGCATCTGCGGGACAAGGGTGAAGGTCTGGTCAGCGGCAGCTCCCTTCGGTCCACAGCAGGGAGGAGTGAAGTCTAGGACTTGGCTAGTGGCCTCACACCAACCAATAAGTATAGTATAAAGAATCCAGTTTATAATGCCAACAAGAGGAAGGGTTAATGCTTAATAGAGTTTGTGTGATGAAAAGGCTCTGGAAATAAATGATGTATCAAAACCACTGAATTTTAAACTTAATAATGATTAAAATCTCATTTTAGGTCCTGTAAATATTTACCATTTAAAAATAATGTACCTCAAATCATTGACTTGGATACTTTGATATATATATATATATATATATATATATATATCAATGAATGAGAGAGAGCTGAAAAGCCCAATCTGTATAAATCTGTAGTTAATGGCTCCATCTTATTTCCAAATGAAAGTCTTATTAGGATGTATATGAAATCTTCTTTTCAGTTTTAAACAAAAAATCCATGCTTTTTTTCCTCATTCATTTCCAGTGCCAAGAACATTCACTTGTCCTATCTATTAGCAAATATATACGACTAGCTCAAGGGGAAAATGACTCGGGGAAACTGCTGATGATGGCTGACAATATAAATGGGGCTCAGGAGAGCAGGTGAGGAGCCAGCCTATGGGCAGGGCAACCAGCAGGAATTAAGTACAGCCTGCGCCATTTCAATTTGTTGCTAGACACATTGAGCTTAGCTTCGGATATCTTACTCATTAGGGTATGTAATTATTTCATCAGAAAAGCATATCTACATAGAAGCACAGCCTGCAGCTCAACATTGTGAATGCATTTATTATAGGCTGTCAGAAAACAAGATTTGGCTTTGACTATTTATAGTTTCATTAATCTCCCCATTTGTGGATAAATCAGAGAACATAAAATTGCCAGAGACCTCTGGTGGTTATTTAAATGCCAATGTGATATGCTTGTCCAGTGCGTATTTTAAAACCGTGTATTACTTTTTAAAGTTACCTTGGCTTGAATCCACTTTTAGAAAAGAAAATATTTAAATATTTTTTTCTTTCCTATAATTCTGGCTTACAAGTATTTGTATACACTGTATTTTTAAAGAATACAAAGATTTTCTGTGCATGATTTGTCAGTTTTACAATTCAAAAAATGTTGAATATTTTCATTTACTAAAAGCAAAATATCTCAATGAAATTTTTACTAAGGAAAGTTTCAAACTGCATATTCTATAAAGAGATATATATTATAGCCTACACTGTACTCAAATCAAACTGGTAGATTGGAACACAATGTCCAGGAGCCCGAGTTTTCCAGTTCATTTATGGATTTCTCAGAGGGACCTTGCACGAGGCAGTGCTGGGTCCCACACAGTGGTGAGCAAGGGCAGCTTCTTTGTGCCCTCCTGTCAGTGGCGCTAGAAACCAACCCCTGCTGCAAGTGCTCCGCCACTGTGCTAGATAGAACAGCAGCTCTTGAAACTAAGACTTCCAAATGCCAATGTGCTCAGATCTCTGTGCATTTTCTAACTGAAGAGGCTGTTGGGGAGTGATCTTGTGATCCTATCTCTGAAACACTGCGAGTCAGGAGGTTTCAGGACACCGTTACAGACACTGATGGCAAGAGTGCTCTGGGCCCCTTGAGCAGTATAGGGAGAATCCCTGTCACTTGCATCCGTCTTTGCATATTAGGTCACACTGTTCCTTCCTCTGCAAAACAGTATGGAGTCCTGGAACAGTGTAAGCCAAAGTGTCTGTTAAATTTGGTAAAATAGGCCAAAGCATGCATGTTGGTGGTTACTCAGATTTTTACAACAGGAATTCAATGCCATTTCTAGTCCTTCCCAACAAATGTCTCATTCACGGATTGAAATATCCTTCACAGTGAAGCCCATTTGCTTAAATACTTACCTCCACTAGCTGCTCATCCAGTTTCACTTGTTTCTTTTTCAGGCCTTCATTTTCCAAATGAATTGTTTCTAATTCGCTTTCAAGGGCATTCATCTGACTGACCTATTAAAAAACAAAATTCCCTTAAAAAAAAAAACCCCACCCAGATTGTTCTACTTTTCAAAAATCTCTTCTTGAAAGAAAGCCAAGAAAATTCAACAATGCAAGAAATTAAAAACTAAACAAGCCTGTGCTATTTAAGTAATCCAGATTTAATCACTTCTTACAGAGCAACAGTTAGCTGACTTCTAAACTTTGATGCCACCCACTGCAAAAAAAAAAAAAAACACAAGACAATCCTACAATACAGTATCCATGTATCACTGACAGAAAATGCTTATGAAAGACTTCTCCTTAACATGAGACATCAACTGCTATTCTGTAGTGTATTAATTAAAAATGCAATTTTTCACTAAATTGATTTAAAGATGCTCTACTACTGGATCTCAGGGGGGAAATCTTTTGAGAGCACTTAAGTTGAGATTTATGTAACACTTTTTTTTTTCAGTTTTAAAGATGAAATTTCAAGATTTTATATGTATCCATTTTTTGAATTCTCTTTACTACAGGAAGAATCTAATGAGCTGCAAGATACTGGGATTCAAAATAGTGCTTAATAGAAACCATGACACTATTGTAAAAGGCTAATTTTTACCCCTAGCAAAATTTGTTAAGTAGAAATGGAACACTTCCAGCCCCATTTAAAATTCATTGTTATTTAAAAGCCTCTCATAAGACTTTTCCCTTGGTGAGTATCTAAGGAACATGCTTTTTGACAGGTCTGCTTCAAAGGAACTGAAATTAAATGACATTTCATCTTAGATCACCACCAGCCTTCTCACTGCAAATGGTCATAACTTTTGCAAATTGCAGATAATGAGACAAAGCACAGAAAGCAAATGGAATCGTGGCATCGGGGTTTGACCAAGAGGTACTCAGCTCTAAGACAGCCCCCAAGGATCCCCGCCTCCTGGGTTAGTCTGTGTACAAACAGCCCGCAGCAGAAAGCATGGTGTGTAACTTCTGACGTTATGTTCTGAAAGGCCCTAGAGCTTGCGTCTTGGTATTTTGAGCTTGGGTGTCTGTGCAGGAAGTAAGAAGCTGTGGTCTTGGCCATTAGCTAGCAGGAAACAGAAGCCTCCTGATAAGTCTATGAGTGAGCCTGCAAAGTGGGTCCTCTGGCCTCAGCAAAGCCTTCAGGGGAACACAGCCCTGGCTGACATCACCAGAGCCCAGAGTCAGCCCACCCAGCTAAGCTGCTTCCGATTCCCGACCCACAGAAACTGCCTGGCAACGTGTTATTTTGTTACACAGCAACAGATAACTAATACAGTACATCATAGGATATTTCCGATATGAAGGTGAGATATATTTTGCCAACTTATAAACTCTTACATTAGTGAAGAGGATCAACTTTCTTCCCTGTGAAAGCCTCAAACACATTGTTCTTTTTCAACCATTATTCAGTCAAAAAGAACTATGATACTGTTTTGACAAGACTACAGAGGAAGCTAAATATGATAAGAACCAAAATATGCCATGCAATCACTTTCCTAGAATCATTCAGTGTGAGAAACACACTCTAGATAAGTGTTCTAGTCACGACACAGACACACGATATATAATCTCCAAAACTCACCTTCTTCTGAGAGGGAGATGGTTCTGTTTGAAACTCTTCACACTCCCTCTTTAAGTTCAACTTTTCTTGCTCTGTAAGTTTCACCGTACCTGATGGGTTTAAATGTTTTTGGTGCTTAAGGGGAAGAAGGCTGGATTCCAGTTGACGGACCTAGCGAAATCAAATTATAAACAAATGCTTCTATAGTCAGCCAACCAGGAAAAACAAACAGCAAACACAGGGAAAGTTCTTATTTAGCACTTGGGTTCTGTGGTATTAAAAATGCATGCCCTTACTAGGGAGACACATGAGCCCAGGAGTTCAGGATCAGCCTAGGCAGTATCAGGAGATCCATTTCAAAAATAAAAGCGACAACAGAAGACCTTTCAGTCTAGCCGGCCAATTCTGGAAGCCTGCTTTTCTGGATTGCTGAAGATCCTTCCTAGGCAAATCTGGTGTGGTCTACAAACCCAACACTGTGAGGATGAGACAGGGAAGAGGCGAATTCTGGGTCGACTGAGTTGACAGGGGCTAAGAGTGGTGTGACTGCCAAGGAAATGGACACAGCAGCCTGCAGCCTTTCAGCTCTCACCCGAGCATAACCCTTACGAGTGAAGCCGGCCACAGTCTCATCAACTGAAATCTGAATTTGCTAAGCTCCATGAGGACGGGCCATGTCTCGCCCCCACCACAGTGTGAGGGACAGCACAGGATCTGCACCATGTCCCAAAGGACAGTCTGAGTGCTTTCAGGGCGTTCCTCTTCAACAGAGGGGCCAGAGCACTGGTTAAATATAAACGGTCAACCACATAGCAGAGGTAAAGAACTGAAGCGTCGGTCTGATGGCTAGAAAAGATGACCTTTAAAAATAATTCTAACTCTGAGATGCTGAGTCTTTACAAGGGGGCACTTTTTCTCCCATAAGGAGGGAGTTAGGCCCGTGAGATCTGAGTCTAATTCTACCATTTTTGTAACTACTTATCTGGACAGCTAGCCAATCCAAATGAGGAAAATGTGGTTACATCATTTCTATGAGTATGTTTTTGATGTATTAAAATCACAAATTTAATATAGAGCTGCTTGCCGAAATTGAAAAATATTTTACAAACATCAGGGTAAAATTATATGCAAGTAAATGATAAGTTATACATTTGCAAAATAAGTCTGCTATAGCAGGATGCTCGAATCTGTACCCTAGAAGCTTTCAGTCATAGCAAACCTTCATTTTCCCATCACGCTACTTTTTACAGCTGTGCAGCCTTTTGAGTTACCTTCTCCCTGGAGTGTGAGAGCTCTGCTTTGGTGTGCTGCACCACGCTCTGGAACCTCTCGTTCTCCTGCCAGAGCAGCTGCTGCTCCTCATTCATCAAGTGATCCAGCTTTTCCCAAGACAGCTGTTTCTGTTGGCTCTGGGGCCCTGATGGATGCGTGGCTGTTTCTGGGGCCCAGTTCTTAAGAGAGAATTGCAGAGTTAAGCCTCCAAAACACACTGATGGGGCCGGGGATTTAGCTCAGTGGTACCTGGCCTGCCTCACAACTGCAAGGTCCTGAATTTGATCCCTGGTACCAATAAAACCAAAACACTGAGGAGAAAAGTGTCCTATCTACCTAGTGGCAATTCTGTTTTCTTAAGTACTTATTTGTAAGTACATAACGATTACATTCATTGTGGGGATTACTGTATAAACATAACACAATGACAATTCTTAGTAAACCTTTACCTTTGTCTTCATAGGTACGAATTAAACAATACTTTTGGAATTTGATTTTTTAAAAAAGGCTCGCAAGTCCTAGATTCAATGTGCTTTTTGACAAAACAGCCCAGGTCAGCTCAACGGCAAGTGACTGAAGGATGAACTCCAGTTCTAGAAAGGATGCAAAGGTGGTTGGTGGCTTAAACACTGCCCCGTTCTTAGGAAGTTATCTTTGAACCCCAAAATTCAGCACTCTTCTGCTTACCAGAGGACATAAAGGTAACTCTGAAAGGTGCTGTCAACCTGAAGGCTCACAGGCCGAACTCTATTTTCGTTTTCACATATGTAATCATATCTCTTTTTAGAATTCAAAGCACATATTATCCACATAATTGAGGCCTAGGTTCAGGAATATGCTTTAAGTTACCAGGATGGTTGTTTTTTTAATCCTAAAAATAACTAAAAAAAAAAAAGTCGTACCCAGCTCTTCTTGGACTTTTAGTCTCATAGCTAGAAGCTCCCAAGTTCAGTACTATTGTTTTAATGTCACAGGTTTTCTTTTCAGCATAAGTTTTAGTTTTTTGCAGTGTGTGTGTATTGTTCCTAGATTAATTTCTTGGGTCACATGAATATTGTTAAAGTTTGAAAATATTTTAGTTTGATTACTGCGAAACTAAACACAGCCATGATCTTTTGAACTTGTTCAATACCCAAAATTACCTTTTTGGTGTTAACTACACATTGATATGAAGTCCAGAAACAGGTTTCCCTAACCTGCAGTGGCAGAGGGTACAAAAGTGGGTCCTCTGAGGTTAGCAACTGGTCTACCAGGGAACAGGCTGGGGGCTACGAATGACCCAAATGATTGTGACACAATCACATCCACAAAAGGATACCTTTACATTTTATATATATAACTATAATATATATACATAATTATTCAATCCTTCATACATACATGTAAAACTGATCAGAGACTAAAAACTTACATACTTTTTCATAAATAACTTACAATTTAATAAAACAAAAAAGAAATCACCTTGTCACCAGCACTCTGAAGGTGTTTTTGTAAAGATATTACTTCTTGTTTTAAAGCTTCCTTCTCCTGCTGAGTCCCCTGAAGGTCGGATTTGACTCGAGACAGTTGGAGGTTGATATTCTGCAGCGTATCTTCTAGATCCCGAACCTGCATTATAAGAGCAATCTTAGGCTGCTACACAAACCCTCCATCACGTTCAGCAATGAATAAACGAAAAGATAAGACAACTCCAAGGTCCTTTCTGGTTTACTATACCCAGTTCTCTTTTCTCTAGCCCAGTGGAAACCCAGGATATTATATGTATTTGTAGGATGATGAATCATATTTAGGAAAATGATAAGCTATGCCTGGGGCAAGATATTATTGATAGTTATCTGGTAGATCCAAGTGATATCTGAGACAACCAGTAAATGCCTCCCAACAAAAAGAGGGTCTCATTTGTAGAATCTGGCGGAAAGTATGTTTTAGACTGGAGGTTGGTTTTTAAAGGACTTCTTAGTTGAAAATAATGTATACTTGTAGAAACTTACTTCACATTAATATCTCAAATAGATTTCAATTAAAAAATATATAAAAGGGCTGGGGATTTACCTCAATGGTGTCACCACCTGCCTTGCAAGCACAGGAACCTGACTTCAATCCCCAGTACCAAAAAAATTTATAAAAAGAATGTTGATATTTTAACAGGGCATGAACCTATATCACAGTCCCTATTCCCACTATTTCTAAATTTACACATAGTAATAATTTATATATATATATTATACTCAAGTTTTCATAAGTGATCTCAGTGAACTTTTCGGGAAACACTGTTTGTATTATTTTGCCACACTCTAAACCTGTCAAATTAGGTGCTATGGAATTGTTCTGAGTCTTTTGAGGTCACTCCCACCTGGAACATTGTTTTCTCTAAGGTATCTGATAGAAGATGGAGGAAAACAGCATGCAGATGGAACAAGAACTGTCCACAAACACACCTTTTCCTGTGAATCCGCCAGCTGGGACTTCAGGCTCTCATTCTGGTGCTCCCAAGACTTATGTTCCTGCTTCATGGCAGCAATTTTGTGCTCTAAATGCCTTGATTTCGCCAACTGTTTCAGGAACAGAAGAAAAGAGGGCAGTTTTACAAATATATCTAGCCTCAATTTATAGGCCTCCACTAACATATCAAGAACAAATACGATGTATATATCTGGCAGTGCAGGGCGAGGTAAAATTTCACTTTTTCCCCACCTGGTACCAGGGATCAAACTCAGGACCTTGTGCTTGTGAGGCAGGCACAGTGCCACTGAGCTAAATCCCCAGCCCAAGGTAAAGTAAAGTAATTTTCCTGAGCCTCTTAATTTTGAGCAGTCACTTTCTTTTTTGGACATTTATATATATATATTTGGTACTGGGGATCAAACTTGGGACCTTGCACTTGCAAGTCAGGAGGCAGCACCACTGAGCTAAATCCCAGGACATTTATATTTTTCCCCTCACTGCCTCAAAATTTTGAGGGTGGGAAATGATGAACTGAAAAGAAAATTAGAAATTTCAAGATTGTACCATAACAAAAAAATATAAAATGCCCATAAGGCAGGTGGGGGAAAAGCAATGGTTTTGGATCTGTTAGGGAAAATATAATAAAAAATAAGTGTGTATGAAATAGATCTTAGATTAAAAATAATATGTAGAAGATACACACACACACACACACACACATGTATGTATGTGTACAGCGGTGGGGGAGGCATCCTGACATAGTAAAATGAGTTTATTACAGTCTTGGCTTCATGAGACCCAGGGTCTCAGTGCCACCTGAGATCCGAAATGCTGTTTCAGGAAAGTGGGACGATCAGGCTAACACAGGCGCCGGTGGTGAAGTCTTACTACTTCTACTACCTTATCCACGCAGCTCTGTAGTTCTTCACTTAGAGCTTCTTTTTCTCTCAGCAGTCTTTCATTGTAGCTTAGAACACTAGAAATTTTTTGCTGGAAGTCCGAGAGATCAGGACCTCGGTGCAGCTGTAAGAGATAAACAAGTGAGCTCTCCCATGGCCTCATGCCTATATTTACAGAGAGGTATAGTATTTATAAACAGCGCATTTCCATGGCTGCTGAGATATCCCTATCTGCATATTTCAGAGGACCTACAAACTCTACAGACTAGAATTAACTTTAACACACGCTTTCCCCCTGGCTTCTGTGTTCCCTGTTGACGGCCCGAAATGTCTATGCAGATGGGCACAGAAAGACGTTAAGAAGGATCCTAGCTTTCCCCTTGACCTTCAGGGTAGAATAACACACTCGCATTCTGCCACCAATCTAACCTGTGCACATGACATTTTCTCCACGCTTTTTAAACCAGAGAAATCTCTTTAATAAAAATCTCAGTTGAGACTGTAAAACTGGCAGGAGCCACACACAAGCTAACAACATGAGGGCAAAGTCAAGTGTAAAGCAGTATTTTTCAGCTTGTTCCTTGTGCTCTTCCTTGGAAGATGTCTACGCTGCTTGCTGGTGGGGATTTGCTGGCTCCCTCCACTCTACCATAGGGATGGACAGCAAAGCAGATGGTTTTTGTTCCTTTTCAGCATCAACACTGTACTACTGGACACGTTGGACTCGGCAACTGGGGAGGGAGCTGTCCTGTATATTATAGGATATCTCACATCATCTCAGCTTTTCCCAGTAGATGCCAGTAATATTACCATCCCCACTTATGAAAACCAAAAGTGTCCTGGGGCTGGGGAGCAAGCCTCATCCCCATCCCCCAACCCTACTGCAAACCACTGCTTTGAAGAAGCTGTTGCTTACTCTATGTAACCCTTTCCCATAGTTTCCTTGCACTTAACCTTCCCATCTTCAATTCTTGTCATTATTATATGGCCATTTTCTACTTCCTACCTGAAATTCTTTTATGTTTAGCTTTAGAAACAGGACAAAATAGTTTGCCAGCTGAATCTTGTCTCCAGCTGCAATAAATCCAACATACCTACACATCTGAAAAAATCAGAGCCTACAAGAAAACATATTTTGAAGGACCTGACATTGGTAAAAGGAAAGCCCTTCTCTACCCACTACACTGCCACCCATGCAAGAAAGCTTGACACCAATTTGGGGGCGTGACTGGGTGTGCAACTTCGCACATGCTGTTGGCATTTATGTTCAGTGCAATAGGTAGCATGGTGAAAGTGTTGCATGAGGTATACACAAGTCATGGTATCATACGCAGTAGCACCCACGAGAGTCCAAGCTGCATAACAGTGATGGGCTGTCACTACCTCACTCAAGGGTCCTGGTGCCCAATGAAGCAACTTCTACCAGAGGCAGGCAAATCTCACTGTCCTTCCATCTCACTGTTTATACCAACGCCTCTAAAAAATATGGAACAAAATGTGCTGTGTGATGTTCTCATCATGTTATTTCTCTTCTCTAGCTTAGCAATGTTGCAGAGCACCCACTTCCCAGGCTCTGTTTTGGGAACTGGCTCTTATCATCTCCAAGACTGAACGACAGACTTTCAAAATGTATAGGAGGAAGGCTGGCCACATTAATTTAGGATAAAGCTGGTAACCGCAGCTTTGGGATACTCAGATACCACAGAAAGGCCCTGTGAGTTTTAACTTCCGGCATGCTTGTGTGGGACACTTTCTCTAGTTACGGCAAAACGTGACTAAGGTTCTCACAAGGCACCTGCTGGGTATCAGGACTGTATGCGGCATTACCTGAGACACATTTATAATGCTCTGAGGGAAGCAAGCTTTACAGGAGTCAGGTAGAGATAAGTACAAACTAGATTCAGTGTTTCAGCTTTCAGGACAAGAACACTCAGGCAGGCCTACAGAACAGATTTTAGCACAAATATTTTGTAATCTAAGGGTCTAAAGGTGCCATAATCTGTGTGTGTGTGGGTACTGGGGAATGAACCTAAGCCTTACCACTAACATACTCAGCCTTCTTTTTAAAAAAATATTTCCAGACAGGGTCTTGCTAAGTTGCCCAAGCTGGACCAAGTTTTTTT